TTGATGGGGTAGGATATTAATAATGTTGTAAATCGTGGACAGAGGGAAGTGACTTAGACCAGCACGTAAAGAGATCAAACTGAAAGAGATACAAGGAAAATGAGCAAAGAGTGTGTCTAACTGGGATAGTGGAGGGCACATGTGACCAGATATGCACTGAGCTTGAGTTGTGAAGGGAAAATGTGAAAGACTGAAAAAAATCTTTATTAATGAAATTTAGAGTAGCTGCATAGTCTGACAGGAAGTTCATAGATGTCATTGATGATAAGCCAATAAACATAAAGAAAACCAAGTCTAGCTCTGGTGTGGGAAATTTTTTTATAAATTAACCAGCATACTTTCACCTGCCTCAGAAAGATGCTAAGCCTGGTCGCCATTAGGTCATTCGGTGTTTCCAAGAGCAACCATGTGTTTTGGATATAATGGCAACATTTGCAATCTCAGGCACAGTGGCAACCCACTGCAAATATGACCCATGTAATCTGCCTAAGCAGCAGATACAGTATGACAGAATATGGCTTCACCATCATTTGTTTTAGCAGGGAAGATCGGCAGGAGCCAGATCCATCAAACCCTTCATTGGTTTGGAAAAGAAGGATAGCCCTATAGAATTCACTAGGGGACAGACGTAAAATTATTCAGGGAGAATGACGGAAGGCACTGCACTTCTAACTGGGCTCCCTCACTCAGGATGGTTTCCTCTAGTGCTGAAAATCTTAAGATTCCATTGTTTTTTTCCTCTGGGTAGTACTCCATTGTGTAAATCTACCACATTTTATCTATCCACTCTTCAGTTGAGGGGCGTCTAGTTTGCTTCCACATTCTGGCTATTACAAAAAATGTTGCTATGAACATAGTGGATTATTTTAAATTTCATTTTACATTCCAACCATTGTTCTTCCTCACCCCCTTGTCTGCAACCCCTTCCATTCCTTCCCACCACAGTGTACTGATCATCAGTGGTAAAAACTCTCATGAGGAGTCAACAAAGTCTGACAAAATAGGTTGGGTCAGGGCCAAATCCCTTTCCCATGGATTCAGTCTGACATGGCATCCCACAATAAGGAATGGGCCCCAACAAGCTAGTTTGTGTACCAGGTTTGTATCATTGGCCTACTTCCAGGGCCTCTCCAATAGTCCAAGCTTCTCCCACAAATGGAGGGCCTAATTCAGTACCACTCCCAGTCTAGAGTTCATGAGTTTCTGTTACCTTGGTTTGGCTGTCTGTATAGATTTCTCCATCATGATCTTGGCCTCCCTTGCTCACATATATCCCACCTCCCCATCTTCAACTGGATTCCTAGAGAATGGTGTGATCCTTCCTTGTGGTTTTCTGCATTTGGTTCCATCAATTTCTGGATGTAGGCTCTAGGAAGATAGTTGGGTTATTCATCAATCTGATTAATGGGATGACCAGTTCAGTCACCCTCTCTACTATTTGTAGAAGTCATAGCTGGGGTATCAGTAACGTTAAAAAATGGTTGTCATATTCATGCTTTTGTAGATTTCTCCCAGTTAGTTTCAGGACATAGATGTTTGAGTGAGGCTGGGTTTAGCAGGCACATAGCAGACCACAGTGAGACTGGCTAAACTGGGCAGGTGTGCTGATGCTAGTTCTCACTGTCATCAGCTATTGAGTGTAAGTTCAGTCTGTAATACAAATGAGACAGTGTCTCAAGGCAATCAATGAAAATGTGATGAAAATTTCAACCAACCTTTTTTCCAACATTCTCTTTTTATTTATTTTTTAATTATGCAACTGTTGGCCATTTGCTATGGTTTCTGATTAACTAGCTCTGACTTAGTTATTAACAGTAACTACTAATCTATATATTTTTACAAGAACTTACCTTTCTCAGTATACCAGCCTCATGTGTCTTCTCTTCCTGGGATCACATGGCAACTCCTACATGTTTTTTTAAGCCTCCAGGAAAACCACTGAATTTAATCTTGAAATTTCCTGGAGTACCAAGCCCAATTTCTCATGAAAAGTTTTCAGAGATGGTGCTAATTTTTACCCTGACCTGAAGGAAGACTGCTATCAGTGTGAACTCTTCTTTATTTTGATTTATTTATTTTGTGAGGCAGGCTTTCTCTAGATAGTCATGGCTGCCCTTCCAAACTCACAGTGATCCACTTGCCTCTATCAGGTATGGTTTCTATTAAGAGACCCCATGCCCACAGCAACACTTGTAAAAGAAAATGTTTCACTGAGATGGTGGCTTACAGTTTCAGAGTTTTAGTCAATTATCACCAAGGCAGAGAAAATGGTGGCATGTAGGTAGACATCATACTGGAGAAGTAGCTGAAAGTCCTATATCTTACAGTCAACAGGGAATCACCTGTGACACTAGGAGTATCTTGAACATAGGAGAACTCATAGCCCACCTTCACAGTCACACACCTTTAACAAGGCTACACCTACTACAAGCTATATTCAATGCTACCAAGCTTATCAATATGGCTGGAAAGTCTTCAGTAAGCTTTGCTTATAAGTGTCTAAAATTGCACAAATGCAAAAGCAGATGCTTGATGAAGCCTGAAAGTAGTCAATTGTGAATCACAGTACTAGGAATAGGCTAAGTTCCATAGTAATTGTTGGCCACAGATCATGTAGAGGGTTCTAAAATGAAAAAGGCTGTCACATTTGCCAGTTTTTTTACCAGGACTGAGAGGTATGGTACTATTGCTTTTATTTGGTAAAGGTTTTATCTGTATTGCTTTGGAGCCTGTCCTGGAACTGGCTCAGTAGACCAGGCTGGCCTTGAATTCACAGATATCTGCTTGCCTCTGCCTCCCAAGTACTGGGATTAAAGACATGCACCACTTATGTCCAGCCAAGTATGGTACTTTTTTAAAGGAGGCTGATAGTTTGGGATGTCAGTCTCAGAGAAATACAGCTAGAATTGACACAAAATATACTCTCTCTGGGGAAGTACCTTCATTAGACCTATCATGTACCACTAAGGATGCTGTGGAAAATCAAGCCCAATGTTCTACTTTGTTTCAGACCCCAAATGACTCACAATAGTGTGCCATTCAAAATTAGCCTTCCAATATTGGCATGGGAAGGTGTGCAAAGGAAAGACTTTTCCTTGAGAGAAGCCTTCCTGCCAGCCTGGTTTTAGAGCCACATCAGTCCTAAATAAACACACAGGAGGCTATATTAATTATGAAGCTGTTGGCCTTGCTTGTTTCTTACTGGTTAGCTCTTACTTAAGTAATTACCCCATAATTGTTAATCTAAGTATTTCTCCTACTGGAGAACATTCAGGGCTTCCTACCCCATGGCGTTACATCTTGACTCTCTGTGTTTCTTCCTCCCAGAGTCCTTCTGTACTCCCAGTCCCACCTATCTTGATTCCCTATTGGCCAGCAGTGCTTTATTGACATAATCACAGGACTCCCCACATCATCTCCTCTTTTCTGTCTAAACAAAAAGAAAGGTCTTCACTTTAACATAGTCAAATTATATATAAAAGAATAGTTATCAAGTAAGAACATAGTTACAATATTTTGTCTATCAAAATTTAGCAAGATTTAAAGAAAATATCATCTATCTCATTCTTGTGAGTCCCAAGTCCTATATGTAGCTTATCTCTTATCATAACTAAGGAAAACTATAATTATAACTATCTGTCTTCAATTCCATCAAAGACCAAAGAAGGATAATATATAAACACTAGGATTGACAGAGACATCTTCTTACCTGGACAGTCACCCAAAGTTCCTCTGTAACATTGGGGCATCCCTCTTCAGCCCATGGGCCACAATGTGTCCAGAAGATTTTTCAGCAAAGCAGGAAATTTCAAATTGTCCATCTGCGTTGGCAGTCTGTCAGTCATTTTTCTTTGTCCTGCAGAAAGTCTCATAGACTCTTCCATGAAGCAGGAAAACTGTAAGACTGAGTTCAGCAGTCACTTTCCTGTGGGTCCTGCACATCCAGTTTATACAGCAACAGTCAAACATTATAGCAGTTTCTTGCCCAAATGGCTAATCTTGCCATGTTGAAAGCAAACTCCATAAGGAGTCTCTTCAATGCCCATCTTCCACTCAGACATAATTGGTGCTGGCAGGAGCAGACATTTCTCATTGTCAATTTACCACGAGTTTAACCTCTGCTTCACAAATGATGAATGGATGAATGACATATGAGTTTACCACTTCCTCGAATATCATTAAATCTAATATTGGCATGGGGATAAATCATGAGAAAATGTTTAACTATTTTTTTCTACTATCTTTCAGTACTCATGGAAGCTTTTTTTCTGGATTGATGAAGTAAAAACCAACATTCTTACTTTATAATCACTTCCTATGTGCTAATAAATTACATTTCCAAAAGAAATTAGAAAACAAAAAAGTGGTTGTTTTTCAAAGATATTTTAGTTAAATAAGTATGAGTGATTCTTGGTTTTCTACAGGGACAAATCCTTGAAAATTAGTTTATTAATTTTTGTTTTGGTAATTTGCCACAATCATCTGTGAAGGACTTAAAGTAATTATTTAGAAATGGAAAATTTTATAGCTATTTCTTTTACTTTTAAGATCACAATATAATTGCATCTCATCCCCCCTTTTTCCTTCCAAACTTGCTATGCATGACTCATGGTTGTGTTTCAAATCCATTGCTCCTTTTATTCATTAGTTGTTTGATGCACGTATATATATATATATATATATATGTATATATATGTATATATATATATATCATTCAATCTTAACTTCTTACAGTTGAATTTCTGAGCTGTATAGATTACTTTTTTCATTTTTTTATTGATGAAAACAATAGCAGTTGTGTTGGGTTGATACTTGCAGGACACAGTCTTACTTCATGAAATCATGGTAGGTTGCCATGAAGACACACAGACAGGAACCATGAAGAAAAGAAAGCTAATCTCTCATTTGTTATCATACAGCATTAGGATCTGTTGACATCTCAGCCTCACTAAGAAATCCACAGTCAACTACAATTATGGTTAAGGAAAACCAATAATTTTTCTTGTTTTGGCAACTTGCAAACAAAATTTGGAGAATACAAATAAGACTAGCCTGTCCCCTGCACAAGGATGAATTGTGAATTTATGAAGCATTCCATAGTAGGATGTGGAAAAACTCATTTTCCTTCAATTATTATTATTAATGAATATAGAAAATGTGATATACTTACACAATAGAATTTTTATAGCTGCAAATAAAACCTGAAATTGGCGAATTTGTGGGTAAAAAAAAAAGAAAAAGAAAAACCCTAAACCATTTTAAATGCCATTTTGTGAAGGTCTTTGAGAGGTTTGAAGACTATCTCAAATATATTTCTGTATATTTAGAAAACCTAACTTACCTAACTATAAATTCTATTATAAGTAACTATCTATATTCTGTATTCAACTATGCATTACATTTTAAAAGATTAATCAAGAGGAGAAATATACACATCACAAAATTGACCTTGAATTTGTATCAATAAATGAAAAACAATACCCATACCATAATTCTCCTTTTTACCATTAAAAAAGAGATTGGCGGTGATCACTAGCCAATTATAAAAAAACCCAATTTAAATGAAAACAAAGATTTATAAGCAATATGGGAATTAGGATGTCGCTCATTCTAAACTGCTTCTTGCTGGAAGGGGGCGCTATTCATACCATAGGGATTATCACAAAACTCAGAAACCTGTATAAGTTATTATTTTCGTGGTCTGTAAAGCTCCATCATCTTAGCTGTCTCAATTGTTGAAACACCTGGCCCACTGCTACCGGGGGTCTTGGTTCATCAAACCACAGAAGCCTGGAAGGAATCCTTAGCTTTTCATTTTTTATAGAAACATAAACAATAACTCCTTTTCCATGTAACATGTCCTTATACTTAAATTTTTGAAGTCAAGGCATCTTCAAAAGATATAAGTTGAATTAATTCAGCAGCATTTATAATCAAGTGTACTGGAGCAGTTGTTCCTTCCTTAGCAATGAAAAAACTGAAAAACACAATAGCGTACAGTATCCAGACTCTCTGTGTATTTTTTGTCTTTACATGGCTTATTTATTTATCTATTATTACGCTATTTATTTTACTTTTATTTATTTTTCTTTGAGACATGGTTTCTCTTTGGAAATCTGCCTGCCTCTGCCCCTGTAGCAAATCCTACCCGCGTGCCCACGACTGCCGGGCGTTTCTTTTTCTCTCAATCTTATGTATATTTTTAAACACACTGTAACCTTTAGAGGTTTTTCTTTATCCAAGTCTGACTTTACTGTAAATCTTTATGTTTTTCTGGCCATGTGTCTTATCTGTAAAACCGCAGCTGTTTTAAAGTGCCGTTTTTTTCCAAGATGGCAGGCATAAGCGTGACTCCAGCTGCTGGCTTGGAGATGTGGTCACTGCCACTTCCAGCTGTACGTACAACTTTTACATCATTAGCAAAGCCTCTTAAAAGAAACTTGCTGTTTTTTTTCTTTTTATTTTATCTCACTTCTGACACCATTTGTAAAGAGAAGCTTTTTCCTTGAGAGAAGCCTTCCTGCCAGCCTGGTTTTTGAGCCGCATCAGTCCCAAATAAAGACACAGGAAGCTATATTAATTATGTAGCTGTTGGCCTTGCTTGTTTCTTACTGGCTAGCTCTGACTTAAGTAATTACCCCATAATTGTTAATCTAAGTATTTCTCTTACCAGAGAACTTTCCAGGCTTCCTACCCCATGGCATTACATCTTGACTCTCTGTGTTTCTCCCTCCCAGAGTCCTTCTGGACTCCTAGTCCCACCTTTCTTGATTCCCTATTGGCCAGCAGTGCTTTATTGACATAATCACAGGACTTCCCACATCAAAGGTAGAAAGGAAAGAACCAAAGATTGTATTGGACTGGATGTACTTCCAGTAGTGGAAAAGTCAGATCTGGTATGACCAACATGAAAAATGCTTGTGACCAGAGAAGTCATAGTCTAAAACAAGGAAACATCTGCTGGTGATTGCTTAAATGCAGTACCAGCTAAAGTGTTTGTATGCATTTTTTCTTACAATCTAGTATATTAATATAGTTCATGTCTATTTTTATAGTTTCCCATTTATCAATTTTTGTCCTTTTTCTGATTTGTACTATGTAGTAGGAAAAATTCTCAAGGGTTTCCTACAACAAGTTTCCAGAGACAATTGTATGAAAAATATCCTTAGGGATTACATAAACTGCTATAGCTGAGGGAGAATTGTCAGGTACCTATGTGATACCCTCCCAAGTTCAGAAAGTGTTGAGGTAGAGAGAGTTGCAAAGTATTTAAGAGGTTGAGGAAATACCAGAGGTACTGTATATTTCTTTCCTCCAAACCAAATAACTGCCAAGTTGAGCATTTATCTATGTCCCTTGGTAAAAAAATCAATCGACCTAGAATTGTTGATTATTTACAACCCCTCATTAAATGGCAGGAAATGTCATCAGACCCACCCTGGAGTATCTATATGTTCCTACAACTTATTTGCAACTCAACTAACTTCATGTCACCTTTGTAAAACTCTGTAGTATATAGGCCAATAAAGTCCAGTGAAGGTGGTTTCATTGGTAGAGTATGGTTAGAGATACCATCCTTCCTGGGCAGAAACTTTCTAGTGCAGCTTTTGAGTCATAACACACACATGCATACATAACCCATCTCCTTTCTTCTATAAATTAATCCAATAAAATCATTGGGTCCCCTGAGAGAACTTTTTTGGAAATATATGTAATCTCCTTTGGTGGGTATTAATTAGTGGGGCAGACATTCCTCACGTCTGTTATGGAGAATTATATTTTATTACGTCCTTTTTTAGAGATTTTTAAAACAATTTAATTGTTTTCTCTTTGTGATGGTTGGAATGAAAATGTTCCACATAGACCCATAGGAATTATCCGTATTAGAATTATAACCTTGTTGGAGGAAATGTGCTACTGGGCATAGGATTTGAGGTTTCACATACTCAATGTAGGCCCATCATCACTTTTTCTTCCTGCTGTTATATATTACCACTGATTCATATGAGAAACTCTTTGTCTCAGGAATACAGTTTGCCTGAGAGAATAGGTTATCTGGATAGTAGAAGTCTGTGATCTCACTCATGTCCTGGGATTGCATGCTAACAACACTATGCCTGGTCTTTAATGTGTGCATTCTATAAATAAACCTTTGCTGCTCATATTTCTATGTGAGCATGTTGCTGAGTGAGGTATCCACTTGTTTGTGAATATTACAACCTTAATAACAAAATGTTGAGCACTAAATAAAAATAAAGCACCACCCTATGGAACAATCTGTTATTCTTCCTCCTTAGTTCTGATGTGGTCCTTTTGTTCCCCCATCTTCAAATTTGTTTTCTCCATTCAGGACTGAAATATTAGGAGATGGTTAAGTGTCAGTACTCTCCTTCTGTGCTCTTCCCACAGACAATGGAAAGAGAGGATCAATGAAGATGCTCCCATATATCCCATCTCAGTTTCAAATTCTCCACCTTATTTACTCCTACTTTCCAGTATTGTCTGTTTAAGATTTATCACAATATTAAAGTCCTGCCCATGTTTCCATGTTGGAGTCCACTGACCCGCGGCCCCCAGACATGTGCAGCCACTGAATCCCCCAGAGAAACCTAGAAGCAGACTGAGCTATCTGACATCTGCTGCAATTGGTTTCTTGGACCCATCTACACTACCTGGAGGAAGCCTTTGACCCATACTCACCAGCTTACCTAGCCTCTCAGGAAATCTGTATTGCTGGTACAAAGAGTTCCTCAAAAGAACCAAAGGTAATATATAATATCAGCATCAAACCAGTATTGGATGAATATGGAAGCCTGATGTACTCACAAACACACAGGATCACATTCACATACTCCACCCCCATTTAGCCAAAATTCCAGCATGGCTAGAAACAGAAATCACGGAGCCCAACCCATATCAAAGTTGCTATTGGGATTTAATCATCTGATAGAGGAGGAGAGTCATATTTTATAACGGATGTTTGCCTTGAACAGCTACACATATTCCAGTAGATGGCCCCGTATCCATATACACACAGGATCCTTAAATGAACTCAGTTTTTATTAAACAGAGTAAAAGTATATGAAATTCAAATGGCATAGTGAGAGAAGTGATTGTAGTGGAAGTCTAAAGTAGACAATGTGGGGCTGGAGAGATGGCTCAGCCGTTAAAGGCTAGGCTCACAACCAAAAATAAAGTAGGCAATACGTGGAATTTTCCAAACACATAATACTCATATACTAATGTTGGATAAAATATTTTATGAATATTAATTGTACCTGAGAAATAAAAAAAATGATTTCCATCTGCATGCAGACATGTCTGCAACCACACAAATAAACTCATACACACAGAGAATTCTTGAGAATATGCATATATGTTAAGCTTTTTTAAAAAAAACAAGTACCTTTTCAATGATTTCCCTATCAATATAACACAGTGAGTACCATATGCTAATTAGTTATATTTGGAGCAGTGCTTGAAAGCAGCATTTCTTTTTAGATTTTGCTTTACGTGGGGTTATATTTCAACCATTTAATCATAGTACTTGGGGAAACTGACACGGGAAGATCAGGAAGAGTCAAGACAAATCTGCACTTGGCAGCCTAGATTCACAACCAGAAAGGAACTAGCAGAACTGGAGTCTTTCTTATATAGACATAGCATCTAGTACCAAGCAGCCATATACATGACTAGCTCCAAGGCTTCCGTGGCTGGTTTTGTCCATTGTTAATTGGTTCCAGAGCTCAGGGAAAAATTACATTTTCTTGTCTTTTACTTTAAATATCCTTGTTTCTGCTGCAGCATCTACAGAGCGTGGAGAGATAGACAAGTCAGCAGCTCTGATGGAGATTTCCAAGATTCTTGTAGGATTTTGCTTTCAATGTCTAAGTTTGAGATCTCTTTAATGATTTGTTCTTAACCAATTTTCTATTAAAATGCACTGGATCTTCCAATTAGAGGTAAACACAGCCAAGAAAAATCTGGGCATCTGGATGTTTGCCAGTCAGACTTATAGCTAGTACCAATTTCCAGCTGGTAACAGGTCTAGCCAAAGCCTGACATCAAGCTGCTCCAGAGAACGAAGATCATACTTGAGACCTG